TCAGATTGTGCATGTCCTTGAGGTTTGCTCGTCTTTTTCAAAGTTGTTTTGCCTCTTCTAGGTCTTTTGCATTTCCATATTGATTTAAAAAGAAGTTTTCCACTTTGTACAAAAAAGCCTGCTGGGATTTTGATTTGGATTGTATTGAATCTATAGTTCAGTTTGTATATAATTGACATTTTCAGTGTTGAGTCTTCTAATCCATGAAGATAGTATCTCTCTCCATTTATTTAAGTTTTTTTAAATTTCTCTCACCAGTATCTTGTCATTTTCAGCATACAGATCTTTTACGTGTTTTGTCAGATTTGTCTCTGAATATTTTTCTTTTTAAAAACTGCCATTGTAAGTGGAATTACTTTCTTAATTTTATTTTCAAATGGATGGAAATACTACTCTTTTTGAATATTGAATTTTGTATTTTAAAATATAACTAAACTTATTTTATCTAACAGCACTTTGTTAGACTACTAATAGAACTTTCTATTTTTAATCCACATAAGGAGTTTTACTTCTTTTCTGTTATGGACTCATTTATTTGTCTTTGTAACACTGACTTGACCGCCCCCCCCCCCAGGTTCTTTTGAAAAGTATCAATAAGTGCAGACATTCTTGCCTTATTTCTGATTTTAGGAGGAAGGCATATTTTCATCATGAATTACAAAGTTAAGTTCTTTATCAGATTGAGAAATTTCCCTTCTATTACTAGTTTGTTGAGAGTTTTTATCAGGGATGCATGTTTGATTTTGTGAAACACTTTTGTTGGTTTGCAGTTATTGAGATGATGATCATATTTTTTTTTCTTCTTTAATCTTTATTTATTGACTGTACTGAATCTTCATTGCTGTGCACAGGCTTTCTCTAGTTGTGGTGTGTGGACTTCCCATTGTGATGCCTTCTCCTGTTGTGGAGCATGGGCTCTAGGGCCCATAGGCTTCAGTAGCTGTGGTATGTTGGCTCAGTAATTGCAGCACATGTGTTCTAGAGCATGAGCTTAGTGGCTGTGGCACACAGGACCTAGTTGCCCCACAGCATATAGAATGTTCCCAGACCTGTAATCAAACCCTTGTCCCTTGAATTGGCAGGCAGATTCTATACACTGGACCACCAGGCAAGTCCTCTTCTTTAAACTTTTAATATGGTGAATTACATTGAACTAATTGTCAAATGTTGAAGCAGTCTTGCATCTGTAGGTGAACTCCATGCAGTGATGATGTATTATGATTTTGTATATTATTGGATGATATTTACTAAAAGTTTGTTAAGAATTTTTGCATCTATTTTCATGAGAGATATTTGACTGTAGTTTTCTTTATTGATCATATCTAATTTTGGTGTCAGAGCAATTCTGGTTTCATAGAATGAGTTGGGTAGAATTTTCTTACCTTCAATTTTCTGCAAAAGCTCAATGTTACATTGTCCTTAAGTGATTCATAGAATTCACTAGTGTAGCTATCTGGGCCTGAAGTGTTTTTTTTAATGGTACAGTGTTTAACTATAAATTCAGTTTTTAAAAGTTACTTGGGGTTATTCAGTTCATCTTTCTTTTTAAATGAATTTTAGTATCTTATGTCTTTTAAGGAATTTATGCATTTCATCAGAGTTACCAAATTCATTGGCATAAAGTTGTTCATAGTATCCTCTTGTTATGATTTTTATAGGTATAGAATCATTGTTGTTGATATCATCATGCCTGATATTGGTATTTTGTGTCTTCTCCTTTTTCTGTCTCACTTAGGCTTGGTAGATTGTTACCAATTTTATTGTTCTTCCCAAAGAACCAAGAGCTTTTGCTTTCAGTGATTTTTCTCTATTGTATTTCTTCTGTTTTCTATTTCTACTTTAATATTTATTACTTCATTTTTTTCTGCTTAATTTGTGTTTCACTAGCTTTTCTGGTTTTTAAGATGGAAACAGAACAGAAGTTATTGATTTAAGACATTTGCTTCTTTTCTAATATAAGTGTGTAGTGTTATAAGTTTCACTCTAAATACTAATTTAGCACCATCTCACAAATTTTCAGTTGTGATGCTTTTATTTTCCTTTAGTTCAACATGTTTTCCAATTTCCTTTTACTTCTTTGACTCATAGGCTATTTACAAGTATGTGAATTAATTTTAAAATATTTAGGCAGCTTCCAGATAAATTTCTATTATTGTTTTCTAATTAAATTTTATTTTAGTCAAACAGCACAGTTTGTATGACTTGAATTCCCTTAAATTCACTTAAATTGTTTTATGCTTCACAATATGGTATATCTTGGTAAATTGTTCAATGTGTACTTGAGAAACATGTGTATTATGATTTTGGGTACTGGAAAGTTCTGTAAATGTCAGTTAGATTAAGTTGTTTGATAGTTGGTTTTAAGTCTCCTTTATTTTTCCTAACTCTCTGTCTATATGTTATAAAAATTTTTAAGAGTCAATGGTTGAAACTTTTGACTATAATTATGGACTTATCTGTTTATTTTTGAATTTCTGTCAAATTTTGCTTCACATATTACAAATTTCTGTTATTAAGTGCATAAACCTTTAGGATTATCATTCCATCTTAGTGAATTTACCCTTTATCATGAGATGACTGACTTTATCCTTAATAATATTCTTTGCTTTGAAATCTACATTGATATTAATCTAGGTTTTTAAAAAAGTATTTAGTTTGGTATAGTGTTTTTCATATTTTTATTTAATTTATTTGTCTTTATATTTAATGTGCAGTACTTAAGGCAGCATATAATTATCTTGTTTTTTATATAGTCTGAAAATTTATGCTTTTTAATAGGTGTGTCAGACTTGTTACATTTAATATGATTGTTGATATAATTGGGTTTAAATCTCCCATCTTTCTATTTGTGGTTTTTTTTTTCCATCTGTTCTTTTATTTCTCTTTTTCTCTGCTATCTTTTTATCTTCAGTTAGCTTTTTATCAAAATAACATTTTATTGTGTTATTTTAGTAGTTCTTTTAGGCTTTGTAGTATAAATCTTTAACTCAGCAGTCAGGAATCTATAGTCTCAGGCCAAATATGGCCTACTGATATTTTTTGTAAACAAAGTATTATTGTAACACAACCACACCCATGTGTTTAAGTATTGTCTATGATTAGTTTATTACTCTGAGTGTCCATTACATAAGGTGGCGATAATACCAACCTCATAAGGTTGTTTGGAAGATTGTAATAACATAATGAATGAAAAGTTTAAACTATAAACTGGCAAGTATATTATCTTGTCATGAAATTGTCTTTGAGGAAAACCTCATGAGGGACGTAAATAAGAAACTTACTATTATGTGCCAGTCACTTTTCATTCATTATCTTCCAAACAACCTTATGAAGTCAGTGTTATCACCACCTTACATAAGGACACTCAGAATGATAAACTAACCTACCCAGAAAAACATATAATTGCCATAAGCTATAAATTGGGCTTTCTTAGTGGTGCAGTGGAGAAGACTCTGCCAGCAAGTGCACGAGACACAGGATCCCTGGAAAGGGAAATGGCAACCCACTCCAATTGCCTGGAAAGTCTCATGGACAGAGGAGCCTGGGGGGCTACAGTCCATAGGGTCACAAAGATTCCCACACAATTTAGTGACTAAAACAACAACAAACAAAACTATAGACTGTTTCTTCTTTTAGAATTTCAAAGATTTTTGTTTAGGGTTTTCTTATGTGTTACATTTCAGTGAATGCTTTGATTAGCCTTCTTCAAAGGTGAAATAGGTAACGTCTGTTTTTCTTCCTAATAAAATATCAAGTGAAAATGTTCTTATACTTTTACCATTATGATATTCAAATGAATTCTCCTGAAACTTAGATAATGAAAGTCTTTGTTTTTCTGCAGACTATTTTAAAAAGTGACTGGAGCATATTCTCAGTAATTTTACTAGTAACCTTAATCTGCATAATATAATTCAGTGGCCATGATTCTGAGTGGACAAACCAGTTTCAAGATTTTATGATATGTCTTTCAAATTTTGAACTTTCTTAATAATCTATATATTTTTTTAATGAAAATAAAAAATTTCTAGACAAGTTATTTGTTTTGCCAATTAGAAGCCCTTGCTAAATCTTAACAATTACATCTAATGGCTGAGTAGTGCCCAATTTTGTGTTTAAATTAACACTTATGAATATAGATGTAAACCTATAATAATACCACCTCATCTTTGCACACATAGAATTTTATAATTTACAAAGCTTTTTTTCCTTCACATAAACTAAGCTGACTCTTAAAACTATCTTGTTAAGTAGATGTAGCTGATACTATTATCCTTATTTTACAGGTTTAGAAACTTAAGCCCAGAGGGCTAAGTGACATGTCAGACATTATACTGCTAATTCTAAGTCCAGTGCACTTTTCACTTTATCAGAGTAACTCTATCCCCAGGCACAAAAGATTGAGGAATTCAGTGCCTTTAGACGCATGTATTCTACTGGCAGAAGAGTCCTGGACCTACCCCTTAGGTCAGAGATTGGATTTAGAATTGTGTTTAATGTAAGAGTTACTAATTGACAACTTATGTTAGTAATAGAAACTTTAGGTTAGTAGACCTGCTAAAAGCAAAATTATCACTGAGATGTGATAGTAGACAATGAAAGAGAAAATAGTAGAAATAGTGGAATTCCAGTACTAAAACAAAATATCCAATATATTGTAAAAATCCTGAGAATATCCCTATATATTAGTGCACTAAAATTAATAATTAAGTTATGATAATAAATCATTTTTAAAAAGTTAAATCTGTGCGATAGATTCAGTGTAAATAGATATACAAACTGCATAATATATTTTAGGAAGATCTACATTAAAATGATTAATAGTGAGAAAAGGATTCTTTTTCTTTTGAGAGAAGGATTCTTGAAGAGGTTAATTTCATCTGTATACTTGTTTTATTTTCCTGTTTGCCTAGATTTGTCTGTTTCCTGTTTTTAAAAGAAGAAAATTTAAATACTTGCAACATAGAAAAAAGATTAAATGGTAAATTATTATTTTATTCTAGGTTCTGTTTACAGAGGAAGATGTGAAATTCTACCTTGCAGAACTAGCCCTTGCTTTGGATCATCTGCATCGATTAGGAATTGTATATAGAGACCTGAAGCCAGAAAAGTAAAGTTGTATTCTTTTTATGTATACCTGTTCCCAGTATTTCTGTAACTACTTTTTTCTCCATTAAGTCTGTTGTTTTAAAGATTCTATGAAAATATACATGAATTATACAATTATATGAAACATACTTTGAAAAGTAATCTTCATCAGATACCCATTGATTTTAAATTAGTCTTTTCAAAATTTTCTGGTCTATCAAATTTTATATGAATATTTTATCCTGTGTTGTTGAATGTGAATTTTGATTTACAGCATTTTGCTTGATGAAATAGGACATATCAAGTTAACAGGTATGCAAATTTTCTTACTCTATCCTAAGCCTGTTTTCTGTTTTTATTAATACGTATATTTGTCTAAGCCTGTTTTTCCTCTTTCATGATTTAATTTGCATTTTATTCATTTCTTTAGTGAACTAAAATTCATTTAAAGGGTAGATAACTTTCAATATGCTCTAATTGTAATACAAAAAAATATACAATAGTGTCATTGTTCTCATTAAGAAATGACATTTGGTTTTCTAGGTAAAAGCACATAATTTTTGTTTCAGTCTAGACGGAAAGATTTATCATAACTAGTTACCACATTTGAAATATAGTGAATTATAAACTTTTAAACCAGGTGTTCCATAATCAGAAGTTCATTTTATTCTTTTTTTTGGTTAAAAACACGTTTTATTTTTTACTTTATTTTGAATGTTGAGTGTTTACAGTATACAATACATTCTGCTAATTCTCACAGGACTCTTAGGCATAAAGCCTCCTTATTATACCATTAAAATCTTTTACTTTCAAATAATTATAGACTAACAATAAGTTGCAAAAATAGTACCATCACCCAGCTTCCCCTATGGTGACATTTTATAAAATTACTACTGCATTATCAAACTCAGGAAATTGATAGGTACAGTAGAACTAACTAGACTATATACTTTACTTGGATTTCACCAGTTTTTGCATGTATTCATTTTTTTGTTTGTCTCCATGACATTATATCCATATATGTAGATTTGAATATTATCATCATTATCAATAAGCAGAACTGATCTACAACCATATCTGTCCATTTATAATCACAACTCTTCCCCCCTTCTTTAATTCCTGGCAACCACTTCTCTGCTCTACATCTCCCAGTTTGTTATTTTAAGAATATGATACAAATAGAACTGTACAGTAGTCACATACCTGGACATTTATCCTAGAGAAATAAAAACTTACATGCGCACAAAAAATCTATACATGAATTTTCGTAGCAGCTCTATTTGAAATGGCCCAAGGCTGGAAATGTCCAAGATGTCCTTCAAAAAGTGAATGGATGGATACATCTATACAGTAGAATACTACCCAGCAGTATATGCAGCAACTTGGATTGGGCATTATGCTGAGTGAGCCACTCTCAAAAGGTTACTTATGTTTTAAATAGGTAGTAAATTATGTATTTAATTATCAGAATGTTAAAAAAGCGATAAAATGAAGATATGGTCTTTACAAAGAAGTTTGGACCAGTACACTTTAAAGGTAAGTTGCTTTAAATTCGTAAGTATACTGCTTCAGTAAAAAGTAAAGTATGAAGTTGTTAACTTGAAAGCTCAAGTAAATGTGACAAAGTTCAAGTAAAGTTTAGTAAATCTTATTCATTCACAGCCTGGTTATCTTTCTCATACATGAGACAATCAAAGCAGATTTAAACAGATTTAGAGTAGGTTCGATCCTTGGGTCAGGAACATCCCCTGGAGGAGTCCATGGCAATCCACTCCAGTATTCTTGCCTGTAGAATCCCATGGACAGAGCAAGTAGCCAGGCAGGCTATAATCCATAGGGTTGCAAAGAGTCAGACATGACTGAAGTGACTTAGCATGCACACATGAGAGAACAAGGAAGAAAAATATGAAGAGAGAACAGTAGAGTTTTGAAATTTTATACAAAGTATATATTTTTTATTTTATAACAATCAGTCTTTAATTGGAAAGCTAATTATATTTAATTCTTTTCATTTTTCTTAATAAATTATGCTTGTTTTGTCTCAGATGAGGAAGGAAAGTGGGGAAAGAGTAGAATACATTCTACCTTTATCTGTCTTCTACATTAAGGTTAATTGGGTGAATAATGATATCAACTTGTTTTATATTTAGTCTTATAATATGAACTCTGCTGTTATACCTTTTGGACTTAAATTGACTAAGGAGTAAAGAATGTTTAGAATCAATGTTAATTTATAAGCAAGGGACTCAAGGCTTATAATGGAAATAAACTGTGATTTATGTTTATTTTTAAATAATTCAGTCTATATTCCTTTAAAGTGACACCAATATTTCTTTAACAAAAGTGCACAAGGGTAAATATTACCTAATTTACTGTTTAATGATTATAACCTAATTCGAAGTTTAACCTTTCCACATTCCAGTGTGGTTGGTTACAGATACCTCATAGCAAGCATCAGTATTTTAAGACATTTCAGTTTTTTCTTTCCTTTTTCTTTTTATTCTTCCTTTATTTCTCTTTTTTTCTTCCTTTCTTATGTGCTGTGCCTGTTTTCTCCTTCCTTCTCTCCCCTTCCTTCCATTTTGAATACTATCATCAAAAGTGCTATTTGCTATTTGTCTTTGATACCAGTGATCTCAAGTGATTTAGGAGTGTCTTTTCTAGTTATGGTCTTCCTCAGCATTCTAAGTTTCCCCAGAATAATCTTAGAAGATTACCTTTTTTTTAGAAGATAACTTTTTTTCCCCCATTACCTGTTCACTTTAAAAAATCCTCCAAATAAGAGGAATAGACTTTTTAGCAGATTAATCTGGAATAGCAGCAGACTATAGAAAGGTTCCTTTATATGACTGTACTTTGAGCCTGATTGACCTCATACTGGGATTATGTTTGTATAGCGAAGATCAGTAGAATTAAAGTGAATATTCCCCAAATACATGTGTACTTGCTAATATATTATTGATATTGTCTTTATGTCTTAGTTTTTATTTTCTTTTCTTTTCTACTGGAATGCCATCTACCAGTTTTGTAAAAACAAACTATATTACATGACTTGCCTGGTTTAGAAAAAGTTTACTCATTATACCCTATTAAAAATTATAAATTGAACACAATTGATTTGAACTGTCTGTGGTTGCTATGTTTTCTTTTTTAAACTTTTAAATACCTACTTTAATAGTTTTTCAGACACTCTGGTTTTAGATACAGCTGCTTCTAATACAGTTTAAAATCTGTTCTGGAAGAATAAGTCATCCCTTATCTCTGCTTTTCACTATTCTGGTCTTTTATTGGGTGAACTGTGTTACTCATTTTTATCAGCAACCTGTGGAATTTATAGATGAAACACAGATCATGTTGGCTGCTTCTTTGAAGCAGACAGAAACATTCCACAGCTGTCTCTCCCTGAGTTCAGTTTTTCTTTTTCAGGTTTACATGCTTTGGCCGGTCTGGTAAATGGGCTGAGTCATATATAGTACTTCCAGTGAGCCCTTCAAGTTCTCTTTTTCAATTCAGTTCAGTTCAGTCGCTCAGTTGTGTCCGACTCTTTGTGACCCCATGGACTACAGCATGCCAGGCTTTCCTGTCCATTACCAACTCCCAGAGCTTTCTCAGACTCAAATCCATCGAGTTGGTGATGCCATCCAACCATCTCATCCTGTTGTCCCCTTTTCTTCCTGCCTTCAATCTTTCCCAGCATCAGGGTCTTTTCCAGCGAGTCAGTTCTCCGCATCAGGTGGACAAAGGATTGGAGCTTCAGATTCAGCATCAGCCCTTCTCCTTGCAGTCCAAGGGACTCTCAAGAGTCTTCTCTAACACCAAAGTTCAAAAGGATCAATTCTTCAGTACTCAACTTTCTTTATGGTCCAACTCTCACATCCATACATGACTACTGTAAAAACTATAGCTTTGACTAGAGGGACCTTTGTTGGAAAAGTAATATCTCTCTCTGCCTTTTAACATGCTGTCTAGGTTGGTCATAGCTTTTCTTCCAAGGAGTAAACGTCTTTTAATTTCATGGCTGCAGTCACCATCTGCAGTGATTTTGGAGCCCCAAAATATAAAGTCTGTCACTGTTTCCATTGTTTCTCCATGTATTTGCCATGAAGTGATGGGACTGGATAATCACGATAGTGTGATCACTCACCTAGAGCCAGACATCCTGGAATGTGAAGTCAAGTGGGCCTTAGAAAGCATCACTACGAACAAAGCTAGTGGAGGTGATGGATTTCCAGTTGAGCTATTTCAAATCCTGAAAGACGATGTTGTGAAAGTGCTGCACTCAATATGCCAGCAAATTTGGAAAACTCAGCAGTGGCCACAGGACTGGAAAAGGTCAGTTTTCATTCCAATCCCAAAGAAAGGCAATCCCAGAGAATACTCAAACTACCACACAATTGCACTCATCTCACACGTGCAATGCTCAAAATTCTCCAAGCCAGGCTTCAGCAATACGTGAACTGTGAAATTCCAGATGTTCAAGCTGGTTTTAGAAAAGGCAGAGGGACCAGAGATCAAATTGCCAACATCCACTGGATCATCGAAAAAGCAAGATAGTTCCAGAAAAACATCTATTTCTGCTTTATTGGCCATGTCAAAGCCTTTGACTGTGTGGATCACAATAAACTGTGGAAAATTCTGAAAGAGATGGGAATACCAAACCACCTGACCTGCCTCTTGAGAAACCTGTATGCAGGATAGGAAGCAACAGTTAGAACTGGACGTGGAACAACAGACTGGTTCAAAATAGGAAAAGGAGTATGTCAAGGCTGTATATTGTCACCCTGCTTGTTTAACTTATATGCAGATTACATCATGAGAAACGCTGGGCTGGAAGAAGCACAAGCTGGAATTAAGATTGCCAGGAGAAATACCAATAACCTCATATATGCAGATGGTACCACCCTTATGGCAGAAAGTGAAGAGGGACTAAAGAACCTCTTGATGAAAGTGAAAGAGGAGAGTGAAAAAGTTGGCTTAAAGCTCAACATTCAGAAAACTAAGACCATGGCATCTTGTCCCATCACTTCATGGGAAATAGATGGGAAACAGTGGAAACAGTGTCAGACTTCATTTTTTTGGGCTCCAAAATCACTACAGATGGTGATTGCAGCCATGAAATTAAAAGACACTTACTCCTTGGAAGGAAAGTTATGACCAGCCTAAACAGCATATTAAAAATCAGAGACATTACTTTGCCAACAAAGGTCTGTCTAGTCGAGGCTATGGTTTTTCCAGTGGTCATATATGGATGTGAGAGTTGGACTATGAAGAAAGCTGAGTGATGAAGGATTGATGCCTTTGAACTGTGGTGT